ATGTCATCATCAGTTTTGCTGAGTTGTGATGGAGAAACATTGATTCTAGGTAAGGGTAAGGTAAGGGTAAAATTTTCGGCTAAGCTCATCTCGAAATTTTCGAGAATACCCTTAAATAACACCGGAAGATATTGAAAAATGGCGTGGATTAACGATTATTAATGATATGTCACGTGCACAAAAATCGTAAATGTTTGAAATGCTTAATGACTGAATTCAAAAATGCACTTAAGCTATGCATAATTATAAAATACGGAAAGCAATGGACTCTTCTTTTTAGATACCCTATATATGCCAAAAAAATGCGGAAATTTTAGATTATATTTTACTTTTTTACGCATTAAGAGAGAATTCTTTTCGTATTCAAGCAGTGAGCACCAAAAGCTATTTTCTTGAAGAAAGGCTGTTGTACAAAAGGCTAAAATCTTGTTATTCAGAAAGTTTAATCTGTTTGGAAGTGGAGATGACCGATGAAAGTGGAATCAAAGTGTTAACCCAAAGCAAAAATTTTATTCGAAAATGAGGTTTACGCCTTTATTTATTTCCCATACATTTTCTATAAAAAAAGCCTGACAAAGCAACATTCTAACAATATTGCAACAAAACATTCTAAAACTTTGTGAAAATTTATGAAAAATTGACTATGAACTACAAATTGAAAGCGATCTTTAAAAAACATTTCTTAAGCTTAGTTTTAAATATAGAAATACTGGGACTACTCTTAATATCAAGTGGAATCTCATTCCACAATTTCGGTGCGCAAACTGAGAAGGATCTAAAACCATATGATTTCAATTATGAGTAGGCTGTTGTAATAAAAGCATATTCTGAGATCTCAAACTACGTCTTGGAACATAAGGCATTAAAATTTCCTGAAGATACAAGGGTGTAAGACCATGAATTACTTTAGAAGTATATAATAATATTTTAACATTAATACGATACTCAATTGGGAACCAATGCAATTCGTATAATAAAGGTGTTATATGATCAGCTTTAAGTTTTAACATAACTAACCTTGCAGCCGTGTTAAGCACGTGCAACTTCTTTTCTCTTAAGGCTAATATTTTTCATGTTGTTTTTAATGTAAGTTCAGTTTTGGTCCTACTTAAAGATAACACCACAGGGGTTTCGGGTTTAGTTGTAAAGTATTGAACCTGGACAATGATGAGTATTACAATCCTCTGTTTCTACTAATGTCTCATTCTT